AACGGCTTCTATCGTGAAGTTTTGAAACGTTGGTCTGACATTGATTACTCCAATCATTATCATGAACAACCACCGCCAGATAAACAATTTTTTGATACTTTTGGTTATTTTGACCCGGTCGCTGATAGTAACTATCATGAAGGATTTATGTGGTTAAAAAATACTGCCATGAGTGAAAATGTACAGTATATAGAAACAATACTGCAAAGTGGTCCAAATCTTGCTGTCGCAGATGAATTGAATGCTATGTTGAATGCTTTGACCTCGAAATCGGACGACTTTGAAATAGACAGAGCACTAACAGCCTATTTCAATGCTGTTGTAAATGATATTCAAGTCAATTCAACAATCAATAATTATGTGAATATGATCGAGACATCGGCAGATGGAATTAATGACGCCAATTTCACATTGCGTTTTCAAAGTTACGTATTCAGAGGCGATTCACCTTCCCGCGTATTTTCTAGTCTATTTTCTTCTTTTTCGGCAACCATGCGTAGTGATCTAATAGTCGGTGTCAATATTGTCGGTGCAGAAAATGGTATTGTATCGATGCGAGACTATACATTGCATATGAAAATGTTTCGTTTTCTCAAGCAACGCTTTCCTCTTGTAAAACTTGCTATGCATGCAGGAGAGTTGGTGTTGGGTTTGGTGCCCCCAGAAGGTTTGCAATTTCACATACGTGAAGCGATAGAAATTGCGGGAGCAAGTCGCATTGGGCATGGCATTGATATATTTTACGAGCACAATGCCTATGAGCTATTACAAAAGATGAAGCAACTCAATATAGTAGTCGAAGCGGTTGTAAGTAGCAATGCATTCATACTGGGCATTAAAAACGATGCACATCCAATGTTGGTATACAAAGCACATGGTGTACCTTTAATAATTGCTACGGATGACGCGGGTGTATCACGCTCCACTTTGACCAATGAATATTTGATGTTTAGCGATCGTTATAAACCAAGTTATGCAGAACTGAAAGAGCTGGTTTACAATAGTATTCGGTTTGCCTTCCTGAACGATAACGAAAAACAGGAACAATTGAACAAACTGGATGCTCGCTTTCTAGATTTTGAAGAGATGATTGCAAATATAGTCAGCACGTTGGGTGAGCCAGGTATTACATTCTCCCGTTCGTCTAAACAGCAGATTGTATCAAAAATGATTTTATTTAGCTACCCATTGTACTTTGTAATCAAATTTTTTGGTCACCAATCGAAATAAAAACTAGAAGATTTAATAAGCTTTGTATCAGAAAAACACGGCAGAACGTTCGAAGTTATAGAAAAGCAAACTTTCACTTCAAGACTAGTTCGAAGTAAATTTGACCAGTTTCGATCAATATAATCATCGATGATTTGGGGTGCGGGTGTGGGTGTGGGTGGATGGGTGTGGGTGTGGATGTGCGGTGTGGGCGTGGGCGGGTGTGGGATTCCCGCTCTTCGCCAATCAGTTTGCGAAAGTCCTGTAAACTTTCGTCAATGTTGGCGAGTCTTGTAGACTTTCACCAATACTGACGAAAGTTGACTAACATTATTAACGCGTACTCTGATGCATAGGCTTAGAATATATTTAAATATGATTACATCAAGTTTTAGAGATAAGATGCTGCAGTAAAAAAGAAACAGTAGACACTATGATATAAAACAATGTAGCAATAAGAACATAAAATAAGTAACAAAAAAAAGTAAGATTAAGATAAACGAAAAAATATCATCAAGAGCAATTTAGTCGCTATCCAGTGATAAATTTGATGGCGAGCAGGGTGAGTCGGATTTTGAAACATTATTTTTGTTTTTGTCCTCCACCAACAGGTTCACCAACGAGGTATGCAAGAGACATTACTCTGCCAATTAAAGATGTCTTCTTTGAATATAAGAAATGTACGAGTCTTCAGTAGTCAAAAAAGGTACCTCTCTCTACACTGTAAAAGAAATGGGTGTTTTACCGAACCTGTGCTCGGAATACGAACCTTTTTGATTCCGTAGGAAATTTCCGAACTTAAAAAAGCTCGGTAATTTTCGCACGGAACTAAAAAAGGCTCAGTAGTTTTGCACGGAACCAAAAAGGTTCTTATTCTGGGCTCAGGTTCGGCAAAATACCTTTTTTTTACAGTGTATTCGCTCGTTCTCCTCTCTATTTTATTATTATATATTTGGTTGCATATCCATAGATAGAGGGTGGATGTGGGTGTGGGGTAGGTATGGGTGTGGATGTGGGGGTGTGGGTTGGGGACGGGTGTGGGTGGGTGACGGCTGTGCGTGTGGGTTCTCTTCTGATCAACCAACACACCCACACCCACTCACAGCCACACCCCACACTAACACCTACAGCCACACTCACACTCACAACCACACTCACACCCCATTCATCTTAATATGCATAACACTAAAAGCACAATCGCTCTCTGATCAATTTTCTTCATTATCAATCACTATATTGATTGTATTTCAGATAAAGCAAGTATTACAACTATTCCTATTCGACCCCAATTCTCGAAATCATTCTTTAGTTACGTACATTTAACACTACACCAATCTACAACGAAGAAAACATCTATAGTTCAAAGATATATGAATAAAACATTCAATCAAAAACAACCACCATACTAGAAAACGAACAACGTATAAATAAGATCAATTACATCATTTCAAAAGACAGAAATCGATCAAAGAATGAAATCACAATCTATTTTCGAATGCTGGTACATTAAATATCCTGCCTTACCCAACAACAATAAAACATTGAACACATATCTTGTTTTGGGTTTTCTTGATCGTACTTGAAAATTTAGAGTAGATAAGCCATCTGAATAAGTCACTAAATCAAGGACGAAATCGAGTGTGGCAGCTACTTTACACCCACACTCTTCATGGGAAGTACAGTGAAACTTGGGGAAAAATAGTAAATGATACGTCAAGAGTAGGGATGCCATATTACCAACTATCACTACCTCTACTTACCAAGGAAATGGTAAGTGTTTTTATGATTGAAAATTTTCTATTACAAGAATAATAAACGATTAGTTAAACAATCAGTTATTTATCTTTGCTTGGTAATCTTGGTCTCTTACCACTTACAACTAATGATTCAGCTAAGCGTCTATTATTACTATTGTATGAAATTTTCTACCATAGAAAGGGTTACCGTTACCTGAGTTCGTAGAACTGATAGTCAATGGTGACCTGATAAATCGGTCGCTTACCAGTAATGGTACGAGAAATATGACACCCCTAGTCAAGAGAGCGGATAAACATAGACAGAATCAATTTTCACATGAAGCAAGAACGACAAGATGAAACAATTGGTACTGACAACGAAACAGATATGCAAATGCTACTCATACATCTAGTCAAAACGGATCTGTCGTCAGAGTGTTGGGGTTAGGAGAGAGGCGCTCAGGTGAATTTAAAAACACGCAAGACTTCAACAACCTTGATTGTTGCGATTCATGATTATAATGCTATTTTTAGGTAGAATGGCTAGAAGAACAATGACACAATTATTCTATTCATATAATTGGCATATCTTTCTTAAATGCAGTACTGTAAAACGTGAAAACTCAAGTTAATTCAAGTTTCATGCTTTGAATTCATAAGGCGAGTATCCGCCTTCTCTTTACTATTCCATGTTTTCTCATTTCCTCATTGAGTATATACTACGAAAGAACGAATACAAAAGTCATGATTTTAATGTAATTTAGTCAATTCTGTAAGAAGACATCTCAAGAAACTGCAAAAAATTACTTCTATCAAACAGACAGTATGTTCTATTGAATATTAACGAGTGGATTAACTTGTATGAATTGTCCATCAACATATTGTAATTGAATTCGATGAAATTGTTGAAGATTTTTTCGATGTCCAACACTGATGATGGTGCCATAGGAACCGAGTTCTTGAAGTAAAGTCGAATATAAATATGTTTCAGATCTATCATCTAACGATGATGTCACTTCATCTAAAAAGATCCATTTCGGTCGATGAAGAAGAATTCGAACAAAAATCATTTTCTGTTGTTCGCCAGATGACAGTATGAGAGACCAATCTTCGATATCATCTAAACGATTTGCCAATGATTCGAGTTGACAAAGACGCAATATGCGCTGGATATTTGCATCATTCTTTGATAACCCTAGCGCCGTTGATGGATAAGTAAAACAATAACGAAGAGCTCCAAGTGGACAATAAGGTTTTTGAGGAATAAATTCAATTGTATCGCTAAGAGGCATAGTAATTGTTCCATGTCCGTATGGCCAAATTCCAGCAAGTACTCGAAGTAGAGTTGATTTTCCACAACCGGATGGACCTTAAACATATGCAAAAGAATTTCAGGAGAAGGATTCAATCGAATGAAGTGTAGTTATAGTTATTATCTCACCTGTGATAAGTATAGATTGATATGGTTCAAAAGTCCAATTAAAATTTGCAATGAGTATTCGTGGAGAATTGCTATCGATGCTCAATGGTAATTGTGCAGTTAATCCTTCTATTCGAATATTCTGCTCTTTCAGTTTATGAACAATTTTAATTTTAGAATTTCGCTTTGCTTCATGCAAATCTTGCAAAGCATTGACTAGATCAATGAGCCGTTTTGTTTCTGCCCTCCACTGTGCAATTGTAGCGTAAGATTTGGCGACAAACGAAAGCGATGTTTGTACACGTGTGAAAGACGATCCAATCTGTGTTAAATCACCGAGAGTGATCTCTTTCGAGAAGTAGCGAGTCGAAGCGACCAGGTACGGAAAGATATCTGATACGTGACTAAATGACAACGAAAACCAATTGAGGTTAAGTGAACAACGCATAATTTCACGAAAGTTTGACATAATTGTAGAGAACAGTGTAGTCAAAATTGCATGTTCATGTAATTCACCATGATACAATGCTACTGATTCGACATGATCGCGAAGTCGAGCGAGTTCATAGCGAAAATTGGCTTCATGGTGTTCTTGTTCATATTTTAAATTCATCAGATTGCGACCGATGCGATCTGTTATTAGTGTACCTGAAACAGTCGGATGAACTTCTACATTTATCAAGTTCTAATATGCATTTCAAAGCAAATATACTATAACATGACTATTATAAGTAGGTCACATCTAATCAATACGCTCAATAACTATAGAAAGATATGGCACTAAACATTCACTTCAATTTGATACACTTTATCTCTGCTGAAAGGTATTATCTAGAGATAATTATTTGAAATGAGAGTGTATGTAAAGTCAAACTCAGCATCAGAATCGGTTCTAAATTTTATTTCTCTGATCGCTTTAAGTTTTATTTTTCTTTTGGTGCAATTAAAATCAGAAAAAAAATAGAATAATTAACATTCTTCTGTTCATTGAATACGATCTAGAACATAATCGATAAACAAGCTCGAATGACTTTTGGTTATCAAATATGTTAGATTCCTTATTGATTGAAAGTTGCATCGATATTTATTTTATTGTAGAAGTGTCAGTGATATGCAAATAGTCAAACGCAATAGAAGATATATTCCTTACTCAAAAGCTTCATAGACGATTAAAAATTGATTTCCTAATTGTTTGTGTTCTACAGAACACTAAAGTAGAGTAAAGTATTCTCTTACCAAGTCCAGCATAAAATATAGCTACCCACATCAAACCACCTGGTATTTTATATGAGACATGCTGTGTGACAGGAATTACAATCACACCCGATAAAGACCATAAAATAAACACATGTGAAATAAACGAAGCTATTGCGTGGATTGCACCAATTGTCAAATCAGACGTATGTGTTATATACGATGCAATATCGACAGATATTCTCTGATCAGGGTTATCGTCACGATTTGCCTTAAACGAAGCTCCATAATAAGCATGTTCTGCCAGATAATTAGTCATAAAGTAATTTGTTAACCAACGTCTCCAATGAAGTTCAAGCAATTGCACAAAGTAAGTTTTGTAAACGGCCACGACGACTACTATTAAAATGATAATAGGAAAGTAAAATATTAAACGAACAAATGCAGATTGATCCAATTGTTGAAGAGCACTGAAAAGAGCATTGTGCCAATAGGAGAATAATACACTTAAGCCGACTGACATAAGTTGCATGATGATTATAAGCATGAGCATAAATCGAGCATAGATTCGTTCATCCGAATAGAAATATAAATGTGACAAACGCCAATTGTCAATCAACAAAGAAGGTACGTAGCGCATACTAAAAGCAGAGGTGGTACAGAAAAAAATTCTTATGATATTCAAGTAGACAAGTAACTTCTCTCCGATTCTCTATGTGCGCGCACATGTCCGGAAGAAGAAAAAACGACTCCTGTGAAAAATAAAAAAATGCTACTACCGTTTGATGTGTCTTACAAATAATTCTACGATTATTCCATGTAGGGTTGGGTGACAAGATCGAAAAACAAAACGTTGAAAATATTTTTCTATAAAGTCTTCAACGTCAAATTAAAAACTGCAGATTTTGCCCTCCCTGACACTGTCGAGATGTGTGGTGATCATGTACCAACTCTGGTTCAAGAAAACTTTGAGTAAGATCGAACTCTTACAATCTCAAAGTTGTTAATTTTCGACGTTTTGCGACTGTACTCCATGTAGATGTGATATCTTGGAAGTACTGGGTCAAGAACGACGATTGAGTTATCGAATTAGCTGGTGCCGTATACGGTTTAGCATGGTAAAGTAGAATATATACTATGAGTCACTCTCGCCATTTTATTGTTTTTCATGACGTGCAGAAACAAGTGAGTAACTATTTATGAAAAAAAACTGCATTGTACAATTCATGTATTGTGTTTTTGTAGTAGTAGCGGGATATATAATATAATTTTTGATGTTGCAAATTAAAAAAAACTATCATATTGTGATCTAATGCGAAGTCCAGTGTAGGGCACGATGATTGCAAATTGTGAATAGGTATGTGTTGCATTGAATAATAATACAAAAAACAGAAGAAACAAATGAAGAACGATAAATGATGAATAAATCAGAAAAAAGGGAGAGTGACGATTGAAGAAACATACGAGGTCCAAGTAAAACAAGAAAAAATAACGAATAAAACACAGAACGACAAAGTAAGAACGAAAAAAAAATGAAAACCCGCATGGAAAGAAAAGAATAAGAAAATATGAAAAAAAACGAATAATATGTGTATATAGATGCAGATGAGAAGAGTTATTTACTGTGAGATCCATATATAACCGTTATATCTACTCTTATTCTACTCACACCGGTAGACGCTAGATGGATCAATCCTACTGCAGACTGGTTCAATGGTTCCTACTTATTTTATTTATGACCAGTATATACACGTATATATATATATATATGCGAGGTTATAGATATAGATAAGTTGACAACTAAGAGCAGATAGGTCTATGGCACGTATTGCATCGTCTTTATTAACGATATATCGACTACTTTATATATGGTTAGTAGTCAGATGTTAAACGGAAATAACCAAGGTATATATCAAAGGATAAAACATTTGTTAGGAGTTTGTACATAGAAAAAAGGAAAATGCCTGTATATAGAACAACACATATGACCAGATGGTAGAAGGGGAAAATAGCAATGATAAGAGAACAGAAAGAAAAAATATATATAATGATAGAATAAAGAGAAGAAGAGAACAAATATATAAATGACAACAGATATGATGAACAGATGACTCTAACATTTCTTAACACCTTCCCCATTATCAGATGAAGCGCCCCACTCATCATAATAAGAAAAAGAATGATGAAATTGGTTGAAAGAGTCTAGAAGAACCTGCCACCTTCTTCCTCAATGACGGCAATGTTAGTACGAAGTGTGCTTATTTGATATCGAAAATCCAAGCTTTAAGTATCATTCATAATCAAATAATTAATCGAATTCTCGAAACATGAACTTTTTCAATATGACCATCATTAGTATGTTTTACTTCGTAATTTAGGCGACCCAGTTGTCGGATTACTGTAAAAGGGCCATAGTACTTAGGTAAAAATTTCCTAAGATTTTTAATCATCATTTGCTTAAGAAAAACTAATTGTCCTGGTTTCAATGTTGGTGAATCTTGGCGTCCAGTATCATATATTCGCTTCTAAATATTTTGTTGTTGTTTGATTTTGTACCAAGCGGTAGATTTGGCTTTATGTAAGAAATGGATTAATTGGGAATAATAATCATTAGCACTAGACAAGTGTATAATCGGTATCGATGTGGGGTGTGGGTGTATGGGTGTGGATGGAGGTGGGGATGTGTGTGAGTGTGGGTGTTGGTGTGTATCTTCTTCAAGTCCACACCCACACCTACCCGCAGCAACACCTACACCCATACCCCGCATCCATACCCCACGCACACACCCACCCCCGATTTTTTACCTAGATGTTTTGTACAAATGGTTCCTAAACAAATACAAGCAAGTTATAATTGTCAACCAAAAGACGTAGAATGGATTTTTACTAAAGAAAAATTTGACATATTACAAGCTCGACCTAAAACAACTTTATTTCCAATACAAGAAAATTCTCATGGACAACCAAATGTATGATTTACAGTATTGTTTGGTATCTTTCAAGGATTTCTTAAACCTATGACACTTTTAGGTTAAAGTACGATCAGTAGTCTTATTGGAAATTCATTATGAATAATAGGTATTAATCAAATAACTTCAGTTGAAGATGACATATCTTCAAATCTGTTACTATATAATATATTTAAATCAGAAAAAAAACCGTATTTGGATTGATATTACTGTTATGTTATCATCATCTATAAGTTTATTTGGTGTGTTAACAGTTGATATTGGAATAAGCAAAACTATAAATTATTTGATTCATTCACAGTATTTTCCATTAAAATCATCTTTATTTTTATTCTGATTTTCTATTTCTTTAATTATAAAATCCACATGAAATTTAATATTTCCAAAATATGGAAAAAAGTTATTTATAAATGAATTAGAAAAATATCATCAAGGAATTAATAAAGGATTTGAAGATAAAAATAATCATAGCTTTTCTAATTGTGTTGACCATTTTCAAAATATTTCATTAGATTTACTGCTCACGTTACTAAACCATGCTATTCCATGCATTCTTCCTAGTGTTATGTCTTTAAGTATTTTAGAAAAATTCACGAAAAATTCTATTCATACTCGTGCATTGTCACGTGCTATTAAATCAAATTGAGTAACAAATATGAATTTTATGTCATAGAAATTAACTATATCAATATAAGAGCATGCAATAATAAATAATTTAACGAATATGTATGCAAAAATATTCAATTAAAACTAGACAAACTATTGTTGACTAAATTAGTAATTCTGACAAACCTATTGGTAAAATTCATGATCAAAATAAAAAAAAGTGCCAATGGAACATTTACAAATATTGAAAATTAATTTAAATAACTATTTATTCAGCGGCTATTGTTAAAATTTTGTTTAACTGATTGAAAATTTTATTTTCGTGAAGAGAATATAAAACTTAATGCAGTTATTCAAAACATTTGCTAAAGGTCGTAAAGAATTTCTTTGTGAAGCTAATTAGCAATTAATGGAAACTTTTTATCAAATATTGATTAGATTTTCTTTTTAATGAGAAGGCAGATATAATGTAACATTTAACAGTGGCTTTAAACTCTAATTAGTTCTCAACTCGCTCTATAGAAAATTAATTTCTCTACAAAACTGCTGAATGCATTTTTTTTAAATTAATCTTTCTTGTCGGCACAAGATCTCAAAGATTATCTCTTAGTTAATAACTCATCTGCGAAAGTAAAAAAGTGAAAACTTTTATAAAAATATTTTTAAACAATTCTGTTGACATTTCAAGTTTGTCATGAAATTCTACAAAGAATTCTTTCTCTTTCTATGTGATTTTCGAAATTTCATAATGAATATTTTAGAGGAAAAATGTTGAAGCTAAAAATGTGAACGCACTAAAAAAACTCTTTTCGGACAGATCTATGACTTTGTACTCTGTTAATTCTGAAGAGTCAAGACAGTTGATCTGTTCCAGTCACTATTTATACCATTTTACTCAGAATTGAATTCGGCATATAAAAGCATAAGCATAATCTTTTTATATGATAAGTCTCTTGTTAAAAAAAAAATATTGTTCTCCGCAATGAATTCAAAACTTGCACTAGATACTAGTTCGAAAGCTTTTTCTCTTGAGTAAGAGTACCGAAAGTCTTTCAAAGTTCTGGAAAGTCTATTGAATAGAGATTACTCGTTGAAATTTTTACGTCAGCAACAAAAATTAATTTGAAAAGGATATGAATGTTGCTATTCTATTTTATCACATCAACATCTCACACCCAACCTTTATAGCAGAACAGTAAGTTTTATTTGAAACCGATGCGATAGTCTTAGAAATGAGTGTATTAGTTCAATTCATTCCATATACTTACTAATCAAACTTTTCAGTATTCAATTTATGAACAGAGATGCTTTAACTATATGAAAACTATTTATTTTACAAATATTAGTAATTAACTAAGCTAAAAAACCTATAATTATCATAGAAAAGTATAATTGAATAATAATAGTTTAATTATGTTTTATTCGCTTAGATGTGTTTTCGAACCCTTTCTTCGGCCAAAATCGATAAATTAAAATCAACGGAAATAATTGATAATAACCATAAGCTACTGTAAATAAAAATAAATTTTTTGTTTTTTCTTGACCAAAAACAGCTTGATAGAAAAAATAACTTAGATCAAAAAATAATATCAACGAAAATAGAATTATTGGTATACGAATCCATTGGTGTTTATGATAAATCGCGTAGATAGCAATTAAATAGAATGGTGCAAATAGAAATGGTGAAAGACAAGTTAAATATTTAACAAAGGCATCATTATGAAGTAAAATTGGATCAACATTTTCGCACCACCAATAAAATAATTTGAAAACAAATTGTGGTGGCCAAAGCCATTTCGATGTATTTTCATTTCGAATTTCTTCATTAACTGGAGCAACAGAATTAATATAATCGATGGTAACGGCGAAAATAAAAAATGCAATAAAAGTACCAATTATCAATTTGTCAATAGATTGCATCGATTAATAAAAAATCAAGAGATGTACTTGAATTCTT